TGCCTCCACCTCCTGAATGCAAGAACTATAGGTTTATACCACCACACCCAGTCTATGGTGCTGGGACTGGAACTCATGAATATTAGGGAACTCCTCTGCCAACCAAGCTAAGTTCTCAGCCTTCAGGGACAGTGATTGTTTTTTGAGCATTCTCAGGGAGTTTCCCTGTTTCCTGCAGTTGGTTTAGGATCGTCCTCTAGGATCTCTGGAACGGGGCCTTTCACCTGGGAAGTGCTTTGTAATGCTGAAGTTGCTAAAGACGGATGTGCATAGAAACTGTTGCCTTCCCATATCCGCAGTGGGATGGATGCTCTGGACACAGAAGTCCTTTATACCCAGGCTTTCCAGTGTGACCTGTGCACTCTAGAGTGTTCGCAATACCTAGCACAAGGCAAGCAGATATAAATGGCTGTGATTTGTATTTGGGAACAATGACAAGGGAAAGAAGTCTGAAAATGTCAGAGACGAGCACCTTCCCCCAATATCTTCTGGGTAGCCTGCCATGGCATCGAATGGATGGAGCGCCTCACTGCTGCGAGAGAGAGTGGGTCAGAGTTGAGAAAAGGTCTTCGCGCACGAGTGCTTTGACTGTTTTCTGCCGATGGCCTCCTTCTGCTCACTCCCACCCACTTTGCCTTGACCAGGCGTTGGCTGCCATAGAATTTTCTTCCAGTTTAAGTTCCTGCCTGAGAAGCTGGACTTGAGACCAAGACAGATATCAGTTTCCCAGGGAAACTAGACTCAGAGCAGGTCTTCCAGGTCCAAAGTGCTCTCCAGGTAGATTAGGAATGGGGGAAGCGGGTTGTTAGGAAAAGAAAAGCATGATAAACCGAGAAGAGTGAAGAGCTCTGGTGACTTTCACGTTCCCAGTCCCAGCTTCTTCCTAAGGCCCCTCTGTCACCCACTCATCAGCGCCAGGACGCCTCACCAGCAAGATCTTGGGATAACTTCTCCCTTTCACTTACACCAGCTCTAGTGGGTCCCCGTTACTTAGAAACCAAAAGAATCCCACACCAGTGGTGTGCTGGAATGTTTGACAGCATGCTCAGGGTTAACAGCCTGGCTGTAGAGCACTCTGGTTTTCCTGGTATAAATACCCGCTCTGTTGCTGGTCTCAAAGCTGCCAAGGGTTTTGCTGAGTGGGAGTTGGGAAGAGATGGGAATATTGGCTCCCCCACATCCCTGGGTGAAATGAATACAACATGCAATATGCTTCTCAGCCACATAAGAGGTTCAAGGACACATGTGGATAGCCTCTCAGTTAGGAATTATGGGACACAAATCTTTTTAATTAGTTTCAAATGTGCAGCATCTTAGGGCTCAGGGAGTAGAGGATGTAGGATCAGGCTTTTAAATCATAGTGGAAAAAAAAACCCACCTTTTGAGTATAATGCTTTTGTGTGTGCTGGGAATTGGAGGCAGGGAAGGGTTCATACTGAGGGCAGAGAAGAAGCCAGAAGTGCAGCTGGAGAGGTGTGGAAGGCAACCTGGGGGAAGGCAGACACAGACCCTGACAGAATGGAGAGGGTAGCCTTTGTCAGGGAAGGCAGCTACCTGGTACCAGCTCACAGAAGACACAATTCGTCCTTCAGCCATTCAGCCATCAGTAAAATTCCTGACCTGATACGCTTTTTTATATGTGGTGCCTGACATTGAACACAGGGCCTTGGATGTACTGGGCCTGGAATCTAATCCTCTGTCACTGACAGGGCCTCGGTTGGTCTGGAACTGGCTATGTATGCTGAGCTGGCTGTATGTGCCCAGCCGACCCCACACTCATGGCTAGCCCCTTGCTTCTGACTCTCACGTGCTGGGGTCACAAGCACACACCACGACACCTAGCTTTCTGCTCCCCTAACCCCCACCACGAGAAAAGGCCTTTTATTGCACAATTAGAGTTAAAAAGACAGAAAAATATGATCCGGGCTGGAGAGAGGGCTCAGTGAGCAGGTAAAGGAACTTGCTGTCAAGCTAAACAACCTGAGTTCAATCCCCAGAACCTATAGCATGGCGAAGACCAGCTGCCAAAGGCTGTCCTCTAATTACATGTGTCTCTCTCACACATGTAGTCCATTCTCTTTGGCCCACCAGCTCCCAACTAATGACACAGAGACTTGTTAATTATATAAGCTTGGCCTTAGCTCAGGCTTGTAGGCTTGTTCCCAACTAGCTCTTATAACTTAAGTTATACTAGCCTACCTTCTGCCACGCGGCTTGGTACCTCTCTTCCATACTGTACATTGGACTCCCTCCACATCTTGCTGGTGAATCCCTCAAGCCAGAGTCCTCTCTCTCCCGGAAGTCCCGTCTATCCTCTCCTGCCTAGCCATTGACCATTTGGCTCTTTGCTAAACCAATCAGTAGGTGCCTTGGCAGAGACACGTCTTCACAGTGTACAAAAAGATGATCCCACAACACACACATGTAAAAATTATGCCCATCAGGGGTAGAGTAAGGTAATACTTTTATTATTGATGAAGACAACTGGCAAGAATCCAGTGGCTGCCAGTAGATCCTGTCTGGCTTTAGTGAGGGAAGTTTGGGAGGCATGGGGGGCGGTGTTTTCCGGGGGTCCAGGGAGGCCCCATTCAAGCCACTTGACTCCTCTGCCAAGTGTTCAAGTGACCTCTTCAGAGGCCAGTATCGCCCTCAGTTTTGTTTTGTTTTGGTTTGGTTTTTGGTTTTTCGAGACAGAGTTTCTCTGTGTAGCTTTTCGCCTTTCCTGGATCTTGCTCTGTAGACCAGGCTGGCCTCGAACTCACAAAGATCCGCTGGCCTCTGCCTCCTGAGTGCTGGCATTAAAGGCGTGCGCTGCCGCCGCCGCCACCGGTCCTCAGTTTTAAGTCGAACTTCCAAAGTTATTCTCTGTGATAAATTCCAAGTGACCAATAAATGCATTAAAGGGATGTTCAACTTCCCACATAAAGGAATATCAATGATTTTTTTTTTAAGTTTTAGATTGATGTAGGTCTAATTTCTTTCTTACTTAAAAAAATAATTCCAGTTTTGGGCAGATGTGGGAAGCAAGCTCTCTGGAAAGCATTGTTCACGATAAAGTTGACAATATGGGAATATTAAAAGCGTTCATACTCCATGACCAGCAATTCCATTATAAAGAATTCAGCTTTTCGGCTTCAGGAGCAGAAGCGAGATGACGAGGGGTCATGGTCATTCAGAGATGTGGCTCTCTGACCTGCCCCTTTCGGCGGTCAGCCTTTGGTAAATGTGGCTGCCCTGCAAACCCGA